TCTTTTGTAGTGTATTAGTAATCTTTGTAGTCTAATTTCGACTTTTGTAGTCTTTTATAGTGTATCAGTAAACTGTGTTGTCTAAGTCCGACTTTTTTGTAGGCTATCAGTAAACTTGGTAGTCTATATCTGATTCTTAATGTAGGGGATGCACCTTCCTTTTTGGTCATTTTTCCCACAATACAATAATTGTAGCCCTTTCTTTTAGCTTTCTGAATATACTGAAATCATGTTATTTGGTTTTGTTTTCATAGAGAAAAACCCAAAAAAAAAAAAAAAAAAAAACGCGATGCTTTTGAAATTCCTTTACCTCATATCTCCACAACGGGAGCACTTCAGAACATAATTCAAACAGATTCGGGAAGCTACAGTGTAGGGCTACAACTTTCGTTTTTTTGACCATTTTTGGTAATTGGTCATGTGACCACCCTCCAGGGAAGCCCATTGCATGGACCCTGACATGTGGGATACATTTGAACAATTGTAATGAAATGCCCAGGGTATCTATTGAAAAATCACAATGAAATACCAAGGGTATCTATTGAAAAATCGCAATGAAATATCCAGGCTGCATTTGAAATTTCACAGAAAATGTGCTGGGTATCTATGGAAAATTCACTATGAAATACCCAGGCCTACATTTGAAATGCCTTTCAAAAAATCCTAAGCATTATAGATATGGCCTCTAGGCTTAAGTCTAAGTTATAGAAATGACTCTCTAGGCTTAAGTCTAGGTTATAGATAAAAGTGGTAGCCACCAGTCTCCATGCCATTGACCGGGCCCATACTCACAGGGCCGCATTCCTCCAATAAAGTCTCTCCAACCGAAACCTCCTCAATTCCTGCTGCTTCACAAAGCGTGAGACGACCGCCCGCTGCTAGCAGAAGTGCGAGTGCTCAACCTGTTGTCAATAAGAACGCAAGCACACAACCCGCAGCTCCCAGGAGCGCGAACAATTCAAGCAAGGTGCCTCAAAGATCTTCGACTTCAGGTGTGAATCAACCTGCTGCCTTCAACCAACAGTCGCAAGCAGCATCGTCTGACTTGGCCTTGGCCCTCTGAGACGAGTTATTGAATCTTCAAAACAAGACCGCAAGGGAGCCTGTGGATGACGAAGCACTTATGTCCATGTCAAGTCATACCAAAGGTAGAAGAGCGCACCATGCGTCTTCTACAGAGGGCGAAGAACCTGAGTACAAGACCATTTTCTGGGACATAGACAGGGTTAGAAATTTACCAATATGGGCTGAGCCTATCGTCAAGTCATCGGAAGAAATGTTCGGTGTGTTCGACCCATCCGAGGACGAGGATGTCCTAGTGGACCTCAGTGCTATCGACAGTATAATCCCGGGGAAAACAAAACTTGAGTGCAATCGACTAAGATGCGCCATTGAGCTAGTCTATAATACCCCTAAGGATTGTCGATGGGACAATCTAGGCACCACAGTCCGAAAATTCGCCGAACACGAAGTCAGTAAAGACAACTTAGTAAAGCATACAGGGCAAACTATCACCTACAGTCTCGAACATCACTAGTGGCTACCACTATTTATGATTAATCTATGACAACTGTCCAAGAGCCAATGTGTATACTGCCACAGGTTTTATGAAAGGCATCTCATTAGGATTGCCCATCTATTTCATTCAACTTATCACTGGAATCTTTCATAAGATATTTCATTAAGCTCTTTGGCCCTTTCATTGCCATTTCATAGACTTTTCATTGGGATATTTCATTAGGCTCCTTCGCTTTTTCATTACCATTTCTTAGAATTTTCATTAGGATATTTCATTAGGCTCCTTCGCTTTTTCATTGCCATTTCTTAGAATTTTCAGTAGGATATTTCATTAGGCTCCTTCGCTTTTTCATTACCATTTCTCATAAGGATATTTCCTCAGGTATATGGCCCTTTATTACCATTTCTTATGGTTTTCAGTAGGATATTTCATTCGGCTCCTTGGCGCTTTCATTAGATTTTCTTAGAATTTTCATTGGGATATTTCATTCAGCTCCTTGACTCTTTCATTACCATTTCATGGAATTCTCATTAGAATATTTCATTAGGCTTCTTGGTGCTTTCATTAGGATATTTCATTGAGCACCTTGACAATTTCATTACTTCTCATTAGGCTCCCTGGCACTTTCATTCCCAAAACTAGATAATAATGATGATATGTATCACATGGGTTGTTGGGAGGGTGATCACATGACCAATTTCCTAAAATGGTCACTAAGAAATGGTAATGAAAAAGTGAAGGAGCCTAATGAAATATCCTAATGAAAATTCTAAGAAATGGCAATGAAAAAGCGAAGGAGTCTAATGAAATATCCTAATGAAAATTCTAAGAAATGGTAATGAAAAAGTGAAGGAGCCTAATGAAATATCCCAA